CGCGCCCCCCCCCCCGCCCCGCCGACAGTGCTGAGGGACAGGCCGGGCCGTGTCGTACCCCGCGTGTTGGCGGTTTAAGCCTCCCGAAATCCCGGGATTTCGACAAAAAGAAGGCGGGGTTTATGCGCCTTCCCCGCGTTGTCTGACCCACTCGCTGCGTGTGTGGGGTGTGCTGCCTTCTTGGAGGCGGGGGGTGGGAAGGGGCCATCCGGAGTGCCTGCAGCCGGGGAACCCTGGGGGCGGGCGCTGCGGGTGGTGACCGTTTGGAGAAGACAACAGCCTCGAAAGGCTCCGAACTGTTCTCCGGTGCTGTTTGAGCCTCCTGAACTCTTCTCTTGAAGAGCTGGGGCCGTAGGCAGGGCGTCACAAGCTGGCGTTCCGCCAGAGCGAAGGGCCGACGGACGGCGCTGGCGTGGCCTGGGGGCTGTTCAGGAGTCCTGTAGATGGAGGGCCCTTTGAGTGGCAGCAGGTGGCCCTTGCTGGAGGGTGTCACCGTGTCCTGCTGTTCCATCGGTGCCTGGTGTTATTTGGGAAGAGCAGTGTGTGGCTGTAATTGGACTATGACTGATTAACCATCTTGCATATACGGTTTGACATTTCCCCCCCCCTTTCTCAAGTTGCAGAGCGTGCTTGTTACTGGCTCGGATTTCATTTATGTTGGGATTTGAGGTTTTGTATTGATTGCTTCCTTCAGGAAGACCAGAATATATCCTCATTATTCTGAAAGAAAATAGAGAGTTTCATATTATTCAGTATGTTTTGGGGACTCTCAAGATCTTGCTTTTCACGCACATATACCAATCAAACTTGTAGTGAGTTGCCAATTAACATTTCTGCAGAATAGAAATAATCTATTCATGCAGTGTCTTTGCTAGCTAAAGAGATTTTATGAACTGGTGTTTTCCCAGCTGCAGAACCCAAAAGTGTTCACAGATGCTAACCAAATGGCCAAAACTGAAGACATTTTATTGCGTAATTGATGTTTTTAAGAGCACTTTCCTGATATATTTTCCCTCTTTATATTTTATGACTGTGCTTACATTTGGTTTCTTTGTACTTGCTGAATAGGAACTGACAAGTTAAGAAGAACATTTCAAAACCTGAAAATAGTCATCAGCATAAATTAAGGAGGATTGTTCTCACACATTGCTACCTGAAATGGCTTGTAGAAGTATTCTTTCTACAGCAGTGTTTGTCTTGACCTTCACTGTAAGAAAAAAGCACGTCTTCTAGAACTTGCTTGTATTTGCATTACTTTGGTGACTGTCAGCCCTTCCAAGGTTTCTGTTATTAGGATCACCAGACTGGTAACTGGTCAGGGATTGCTCCATAGCAATTGCCTATTTTCAGCAAGCATTTTGACAAGGTGGCTCCGGTTATAGTGCAATTCAAATACTGTCCAGTAGTTCACCAATTTCTGGATGGTCAATCTATATTACTATTTGCCACACATTACTTGTGACTTACTCAGAATCCTGAAGACTTTACAAAGATGCCCTAGAAGCCATCTGCAGCAATATTTCAGGTATTGGAGCAGAGTTAGGCTTGACTAGTACTGGCTCTAAGCACTGTGGGGTCAAGCATCAAACTGTGATGCTGGTATAAAGGTGAACCCTGGGTTTCAGCTGCGCCAGGGTGTTGCTTCATTCCCTCTATGGAGCAGGACTCATCTAAGCCAGGATATGCTTGCAGTGGGTTGGCCTTGGCTGGCCACCAGGTGCCCACCAAGCCGCTCTATCATTCTTCCTCCTCAGCAGGACAGGGGGAGAAAATAAGATGAAAAAGACATGGGTCAAGGTAAAGGCAGTTTAATGAATAAAAGCAAAGACCGTGCTCAGAAACAAAGGAAAACAAGATTTATTCTCTAGTTCCCATCAGCAGGTGATGTAGTGTACAGGTAGTGTAGACAAACACCTTAATAATGAATGTGTGTTCCCCTGCTCCCTTTCTCTTAGCTTTTATTGCTGTGCGTGACATTATATGATTTGGAATATCCCTTTGGTCAGTTTGGGTCAGCTGTCCCAGCTGTGTCCCCTCCCAGCCTCTTGCCCACCCCCAGCCCACTGGCCTTTGGAGGGGGTGGCCTTCTTCCACACTCTCTCAGCTTAGTTTGCTGTTTGAAGTTAGCAAATCCCTGACTTCTGTATTTTGCTTGCTAAAAGCTTTTGAGGTTTTGCACAAAAATAAAGCATGGAAATACACTGAGAAAAAATAAAGTTGTTAAAATTTAAAGGAACTGGGTATACATAGAACAAAAAAGCCCAAATAAAAGTAAAAACCCTGTTAACCTGGAAGATGCAATGCCAACAATTAAAAAATTGATCACAGCCACTTTATGGAAGAGGCCTCATCTGTCACAGTATTTTTATCTCCCATTTTCCTGAAATCCTTTAAACCAAATAGAGAAAAAGGACTGCACAGTAACACTGTATTGCCATCCATGAGATCCTTGAGGAAACCACCTATCTGACCAGGAGGCATAAGCATCCACTCACTGAATGCGGATCACCAGAAGAACAGACTTTCCTAAGCTGATGTTTCTCTTCAGGGTGGTCTTTTTTTATTGGTGCCTTATCTCTGGGTTCTCAACAAGAACACATTAGGGCTGTTGTAAAGCATCAAGTTAGAAAAGACAGCCGGTGTTAGAGAAGCAAACCGGAAGTAGTTTAAAAGAGAAAGAGTAAATTAATGGTCAGAAGAAATCAAAGCCTTTAACCCTATGGGTACAACTATCCACTTGTGAAAGCATTCAAAAAATTGTCTGGTTATCGTAGACTATAAAAGCACCCAGTTGCTGCTGACAACATGGTTTTTCCTTGTATTTTTATTTCTGAAAACAGTGTCTCTGCCCCAGCCTAGCCTCAGACTCACAGGTCAGTATTAAACCAACCCAGGGCATCAGCCAGAATATAAAAACAAAATGGAAGCAGGTGCAAAAAAAAAGCTATTACAGGTACGTGGATGATATGTGCTTATTCTGTGGCACTGTAATAATGCACTCTGGGTGGGGATAAGCAGAGTAGGGAGGGCACCTGATAGGTACACCAGCAGTAAGTGAAGTAGTACAGATGTGAGCAGTACAGTTTGCACTGTGAAGGCAGGCTGCTTTCATCTCTTTAGTTTTTGTCCACCAGGTGTCATCTGAGAAGCACGTGATAGCTACTAAAGGCATAGCTTTTGTATTTTTTCTTTCTGGAAACCAACAGCAAGCTTTTACTGTCTATAGGTCATATAGCCAGCATTCAGCCCTTTGGCTGTCTCTGTCCCTCTTTACAGGATGGTCTGGTCTGGCCCTGTACTAGCACCATCAGCTCCCCTTCATTTGGTGAGGACAGAGGGTGGTCATCACTTCTCCCTGTGAGACCTGTCCTGGAGTGCTAGCAGACCTGGCAGCTTGGACACACAAAGGTTTGTTGCTCTTCAGCCGCAGCCCACTGTCAGTGTCCCCCAGTACCTTCTTCTGCCAGTGCCTAACTTGCCTCAGGAGTGGAGGAACTCCAGACTAGGCAGTGGCAGAATAGAAGATCCCTTTTCTGTTCACCAGATGAGTGCCGATTCCACTCACCCTAACTCATTTTTGCATAAAGATGTGCTTTAGGTAGAAGTGACCTTTCCTGGTGGCATGATGCCAAGGAACGGTAGCTTGGCTTTCTTGTTTTGTTCTGTGTAGAAGGCATCACCAGAGAAACTAAAAGCACAAGATATAGAAAGAGGCCTGGAGTCTGGAGCTTAGTTTTAGTAAATGTTTGTAGGAGAATAGATGGCAGGAATAAAAAAAAGCCGTATTCATAATGCCCACAGATGTATCTGCCCATCTAAAATACCATTTCCTTTCCTTTCTGTAAAACACAGCCTGTACCTTTCAAGAAAAGAAACCTTTATTTGAACCATGATTGAAGTCTAGATTTCGCAGTAAAAGTGAAGTGGAAGACCAAAAGGGAAATTATAAAGCCTGAACAAATCCACGTGACAAATCCAAAGGTGCCAAATGAACAAGAGCACATCATTTTAGTGTTCTTCACTTTGTCCGGATTTATAGCTGTGGAAATGACAACTGAATCTGAGCTCTTATTGATTCATCCTGTTCTTTCATTTTTCCCTCCAATTCTTTCCTTCTCATTTTCCATTCTCTAGAATTTCCTCATGTATTTTCACATCATCTCCCCTTCTTAACTCTTCTGTAATTCTCTCATTATTCACCTCCCTTACCTGTTACAAAAGGAAAATGAAAATGTTTCCTGCAACTGAACTTGAAACAAACAGACAAAAAGAGATACCAGGCGTGCCAGTAAAACACAAACATTTCCTAATGTATTGCTTAAGCCTCAAAGGTTTTCTTAAAATCCTTTTGAATGTGATAGCCCTAAGTTCAAGTCCCAGTCTTCCAAAATACCTTCCTTCTTAGATCTGGCAAGCAGAAGATAGAAATGTGCTCTGGCAAAATTACAGAAAGTTTAGGCTTGGCCGAACCTCAACACAGCAAAAAGTTGGATGCTCTCCCTGGTACACATTTGTATATTCAATCAACAACCTTAGCAGCTGCTTGTGTTGGAAGCTGGCACACAGCATAGGTCACACTACTGACAGCATCAGTCATGCTGGGGCTTCAAGACCTTACTCAGCAGCTGTCTCTGATACTTCTTTTTCATCATGAGTTTTTAATTTATCAGCTCCTGTGCTACTTTTCTGTAACTGGTTATTACTGCAGTCAAGTGTGATGAACTTTCCTTATGGCCTTTCATTGGCCCTTTCTGTGGCTTCTGCAAAAAACTGGCTGCCCACTGTGGGCTGTCAGGAGCTCCTCTTCCTTCTGTCACAAAGGCCAAGAGGTTACTAACTCAAGCCACTCTCAGCAGCACTCCAAAAACCTCAAATAGGTCACAGACAGATCAATGAGAACGCATTACCAATACGGTGAAGGTTCTCTAGGGAAGTGTGCCCTGCAGAAAAGGGAGGGGTTCCTAGGTGCATGAGGAAAATGGCTGGCTGGCAAAGCTGACCTGTACGAGGAACAAGTGCAAGGGTATATGTGCATGGAAGCAAAACTGCTGTACCCAAATAAAGAGGGTCGGTTGGTCTGTCGTAAGTGTATGGCCTGTATTGCTACAGCTGGAAGTGTTTAAGAGTTTGGTCACTGATTTCATAACGGGCACATTAAAGTTCTAAATTTTTATAATTTTATTTTTCTCAGTTCTAGTCCCTGCAGCTCGCTATGGTAGTTATGGAAGTGATTAAATTAGTAATCACAATTAAATTTTTAATTAGAATTAAAAAGCTACATTTTAGAATGTTGTACTTCTACATATTTTATTTGTAGTTACTCTTAAGTCCTTATGCTTCAGCAGCTAACTGAGCATGTATGTGACTTGGGACTGTAACTGCACAACCAGTACGTATGTCAATCAGAGTCACAGTTTTGCCCTCCATTATTCTGCATGTATGGCTGAAAGATGCCAGACACACTCACTGCTAGTTAACACGGAAGCAAGTCTTTGTGGTTTAAAACCAGAA